GAAATATTTCAGTGCGGCCCTTGGCTCTTTTTACCCTTCTAGACCCACACATCACGTGTCCCCCTTTCGTTTTTTTACCTTTTTAACTCCTCAATTATAATGCTTAATCAATCATTTTACTTCCAATTACAGATAACCAAACACATTCCTAGATGGTGAATCAGACAACAGGGTACGGCCAATGTACATAATTAAGAATCTTGGCTAATCTTCGTACATCTCTGGTAATTATACGACGACGTGTCACATAACTGCAACCTGACAATTTAAACTAGAGTTTGGTTAGTAAATAAGTTAAATCTCGATTGGCACATTTATGGACACGTGGCCAAATACTTGGAGATTGGGTAATAGTTTATAACCAAAAATGATAGCTTTTGCTTAGCTTCTATGACTTGGCGTGTCCATGCATAGACTCACTGGGTGCTACCTTTGAAGTTCCTTTGTCTATTTAAACAACCCCAGCTGAATTTGCCCCTACAAACCTCTCCTTCCTCTTCTCTCTCTCGTGAAAATGAAAGGGCTTAGTTTCAGAGGACTCACATTTATGTTTTTGGTGGCATTTCTTGTCTGGTCTTCTAGTTTGGAGGCCTGCCATGGGAGAGCCACATGGAAGAATTGGAGGCAGAACAGAGCGGCCTCAGCGGCTCTCTACTCCAAGAAGTGGAAGACCACTCACCGTCACGGTGGTTCTCACAACGGCAACCACCGTGGCGGTGCTTCAAAGATAAAGCCTCCGTCACTGCTGCCACCGGCTACTAAGCAGAAACCAGATGTCCCCCGCAGCCTCCCACCCCCTCATAAGGGCGGAGGCTTTAATGGTGACCATTCTTCCACGTTTAATGTGCTCCATTTCGGTGCTAAAGGCAATGGAGAAACTGATGACACCCAGGTGAACATTAATCTTCTTTTATCTCACATGAAAATCAGGAAAATATTTGGCTTCTCAGAGCAAGAAGCAATTTTGTCCTCGCCCCTTTGATAACTAAGTATAAGAAATGTAAAAACAAACTTTTTTTTTTCAATAAATAATGAGTTTGTCAATTTTCAACGGCGGTGAGAACAAGATTTGGTTATTAACTTTAAGGAGCCAAATATTTTCCTAAAAATAATTATTTGTAAAGTTATGATTATGCAGAGTATGAGTGATATAAGTGAATATATATTTGATGAAATGGTATTTACGGGGAAGAGAAATGGGAAAAGGGGGGTGGGCCCATCTAGAAAGGCGGAATCTCGTTATGGCAGTTGGGTCAGGATTTGAGCAAGAATAATTGGGTGGAGTAGGCAGCATTCTGAAAACTAATGCCAAACAGTAAAACACTCTCTTACCGTCAGTAAACAGCTGTAACAGTAAAATAATCATGTGCATCGCAGGCATTCCAGGACACATGGACAGCCGCTTGCAAGGTGGCAGCATCGACCTTCATCGTCCCGTCAAACTATGTCTTCTTAGTAGGCCCCATCTCCTTCTCCGGTCCTTACTGCCAACCTGATATCGTATTCCAGGTACTTTTATATCGGCCAAATTATATATGTCATTCACATAAACTAAACTATACTTTCCATCAAAATTAACTCTATTCTCTAAGAGCTAAGACAATTGATAAAATTTAACTCAAGTATAGATACTAAAATCAAACTTTAACTACAAGAATGAAAAACATAAGTGTCAAGGGGAAGTTGAAAAATTAGTTCCAGATTGGTAAAGTCTGAGAGGTGGGTTATAAGCATAATGCAACTTTGCATCATCTTGTTTTGATTTTTTGATTTTTACAAAAAGTTGGATGGGACAATCATTGCGCCGACGGACTTCAAAGTTTGGGGTAAAGGGCTATTACAATGGCTACAATTCACAAAGTTGGTGGGAATCACCATACAAGGAAATGGAGTTATTGATGGAAGGGGTTCAGTATGGTGGCAAGCTTCCCCTTTTGATGATCCCATTGACGATGAAGTCAAACTATTCATCCCACTCAACAGCACTGTACAAGCAAAGCCACCATCACCAGTAATTCACCTTCTTCCCGCCCTGCATTTTAGTTTCAAAGAACTGTCTGCTGCAACATTTTCCCTAAACCTATTCTAAAACCTGTGACAGGTGAGAAGTGAGCTGGTGGGAAAGATGCCAAGCATTAAGCCAACTGTAAGCGCGGCTAATATATCCAAAAACTTTCTGAGCCAGTTTCATTGTTTGTGGAAGATCCCTTGACACGGCTCTGTTCTTTTTCTTGTACAGGCTCTGAGGTTTTATGGAAGTTTTAACGTTACTGTCACCGGCATAACAATTCAGAATAGCCCTCAATGCCACCTCAAGTTCGACAATTGCATTGGAGTGTTGGTTCATGATTTTAGGGTTTCGTCTCCAGGTGACAGTCTCAATACTGACGGAATTCATCTGCAGAACTCCAGGGATGTGCTAATCCACAGCACCAGTCTCTCTTGTGGTACGAATTACTTTGCATATGATTACTGTTTTCTTCACTCTTATTGCCATTTCAACCATAGTGGGTCATGGCATCATTACAGGAACGAATAAGCAACAAAATGCAAAACACGAAGCAAATAGCTAGTTCTCACCTTCTCCTATTTCTTTGCTACCATTCATGTAACTCAATGATAGGGGCTCCTCGGTCAGTTCAGTTTTCTAAAGCATAAACCAAAAAGTATTTGTTGGTTCAATTTGACAGATTTTGTCAATTTCAATCAGTTCAGTATGGTTCGGTTTTGATCGGCTGGGTGATCAATTTTGTCAAGCAGTCGGTTTGGTATTCAGAAAGAGTTTAGTTTCGGTGCATGTTTTTTTTTCCCCTTTTCTCATACCAATATGTCAATTTTGAGCCTTTCGCCAAAAACTTCTACTCACCTGCTTACAACCCAACTCAATGTCTTACACCAGGTCATCAGGGAGCAGCCAACCTAAGGTTACATTTTGAACCCAAAGACAAGGAACATTTTTGTAACTTTTTCTCCACTTTAATTACCCGACAGAACTTTTGGCTTCAAGCTTCGCATTCAACCCCCTTCAAGAAGGGGGGAAAAAACTGGCAATGACATTTATGCATTGCAAATATATAGGATGAAAATTGACCGCTTGGTTTGATCTTTCACTCAGGAGACGACTGTATTTCAATACAAACTGGTTGCTCAAACGTGTATATACACAACATCAATTGTGGTCCAGGACATGGAATCAGTATTGGAAGTCTGGGGAAGGACCAGACAAAGGCTTGTGTTTCTAACATCACCGTCCGGGATGTAATTATGAATAACACAATGAATGGTGTCAGAATCAAAACATGGCAGGTATGAGCACAATTCTTCTTTAGAATTAACTCATCAATACTGCTAGTCTTGATCATTGAAGTAAATACTTTATTTGAAGTAGTCTGTTCTCTATGAATCAAACTTGATAAAGATAGAAACTTATAGGCAGTATACACTGTAAAGTCAAACCAGCTCTGTCTCTCTATTAAAATTTGATTCCAAATTATGCATCTGCAGGGTGGATTAGGTTTTGTACAAGGAGTCCTCTTCTCAAATATTCAAGTTTCTGAGGTTAAGATACCAATAGTCATAGACCAGTTCTACTGTGACAAAGCCAAATGCTCAAACCAAACTTCAGCTGTGGCTCTATCAGGAATAAACTATGAAAGAATTAGAGGTACTTACACAGTAAAGCCAGTACACTTTGCCTGTAGTGATAATCTGCCATGTACAGATATATCACTAACTGGAATAGAGCTCAAGCCACTGCAAGAACTCTATCATTTATACGAAGCCTTCTGCTGGCAAACTTTTGGAGAGTTGAGAACTCCTACTGTCCCACCAATTGATTGTTTACAGGTCGGGAAGCCATCAAACAACCAAATTCAGTATGATTTTGATACTTGTTGAGTGTGAAGTTGATACTTATTTGTGTATTCACTGGTGTGGTTGGCATGATTTTCCAACCCCTTTCCACACCATGAGCTTACGCTTGTACATTTTAGTAGTCCTGGTTCATAAGATTATCCTGTAAAAGTTATAGTTCTGCCCATTTAGATATCGACATATTGCAATGACTAGACTGCAGTACTGGTATGCTGCTTGTTTGTCATCGCACACTTCACTGGGTGACATTATACTAAAGCCTCTACGAAGATTTCTAATAAATCCGTCTCTTTGTAGTTTAAACTTTTGAATTTACATTCATTAGTTGAAATAAAGTTCCTACCATGCCAAGAAGGAAAATGCATACAATGGATCACAAATATAAGAAGTCACCAATAACTTGTTATGTAATGTCATTCAATCACACCCATGATAAATAGTTAATACTACGTTATGATCCAAAATAACACCCCCACCAACTTACAGTAATAAACTCTGAAAATATCCCATGTTTTTTCCAAGTTTGAAACAGGACAAAACAACTCCTATGATAGTTTTATTTAATTACCAAGTATCGGGGCCACTCCACTCCTTGTTCATGACTCACCTCCGCTAATCTATGAAGAGGTTTCACCAACCCAATACCAGCTCCGAGAGAACATCTCCCAGTAATTCAACAATAGTCAGAGGAATGACTTTAATTTCATTAGACAAAAAGGGATAACCCCCTAACCAGTAACTAGAGATCACTGATCAGGCATTAAAGATAAGGTAATTTTTACCATCGCCCGCCCATGAGGTACCAATCGAATTTGAAAATAACGATTCTGAAGATTATCAGACTTCTCCCTAATGAATTTGTCTGATACTTATGGCAACAGAGGAAAACGAAACAAATATGCACAGGAAAACCACAACAAACGCATCATGTGGAGAGAGGATATGTTATGCACGCATTACCAAGTGAAGCAACCTTCGAAAAATTATCCCCGCAGAAAATGTTTCTACTCAAAAGAATCTCGCGTGCATAATAGACCATCGGCAGCAACATTATCAAATCTATCTTTACATTAACCTCGAAGTCCAAAAAAATACTACGAATACAGAGGATCCAAACATAGGATTGAACCTAGAAGAAACAAAGAGTGAAGAAGAAATCCTCGTGAGACTACGGAAAAGAAGCAGGGCTATAGACTTACCTGGATGGAAGATGAAGATGATAGGGGAACGCAGGCCAGATCAACGGCTAAAATTTGAGCGAGCTATGCGAGGCAATCCCCTGTTTTCCCCCCGATCGAGCAATGGCGGCAGATTACAAATCCGACTACAGAAGACCACTTCGCCTACAGTCGCAGTGGGCTTTTGGATCGGGTCGGATCATACCCTTACTCGGTTTCTCCCGCCTTTTTCCTTTTCCCATCTTCCCGTCCCTTCAATTTTCATAGTGCTAGTATAAAAAAAAAAATCGCAAAATTTGTAAAAATTGATAATTTTTTTTATATATTATAGACGGTACCATAAAAATTTTAACTTGTACCGTAAAAAAATAAAAACTAATATAAAAATTTTCCCATCTTCACGAGGAGGTAAAATTTGTACGCTTATTAAAGTAGACTTTTTACCAAGTTAATAATATTAAAAAAAAGAAAGAAAAAACCCTTAATGCTAGTGCATGTATGTATCAATTTTTATCCATCTCACCTCACCTCAAATTTGTATACTTATTAATGTAGACTTTTTACCAAGTTAATAATATTTATAAAAAAAAACCCTTAATGCCAGCGTATGTATGTATCAATTTTTACCCATCTAACTTCACCTTAAATTTGGACAAAATATTTCAACTTTGACCCTAAACTAAGATAAGTGTGATAGCATTTACCTTAAACTTTAATAAGTGTATAAATTTTACATGTCGCGACTTTTTCGTTTGAAAAATCATTTATGAAAGTATTCTTGCTTGCCTTACAAATGTTTTTAATGAAATTGGTAGGATTTCAAATAAAAATGATATTTGAATCTTTTATTTTTATTGAAATTTGTGAGTTTTCACATAGTTAATTAATATTTGATCGTGTACATTTATCCTACTTAATTTTACAAAGAAGATGATTTCTATTGAAATTGGCTAGTTCTATTTGACATATTCGAATTTATTTGGCGAATTAGTAAAAAATGAATTAAAATGAAAAAATGCAATACATATATAATTTTAAAGTTTAATTGGACAAATTTAAAGTTCTATAGATCAATATATTTAAACTAAAATAAAAATAAAATATTAAACCTTACCACTTGAAAATACTAATGTGAAACAACTCCAACCCTTCTCCAACCGTCACCAACATTACTTTATTATTCTTATGTAAAATAATAAATTTTTTTGCCCAATGAAGATAATTTTCCCACATCAATCAATTGTTGCACTTGTTTATTTATGAAATTAGTTTTTTTCTTTAAGAAATCATTTATGAACTTGAAATTTTTAATTGAAGTAATCATTCTCCTTGACTTTTTATAGTTTAAATTGAACTATATTTAAAATATTATTTTTTGAGGTCTATAATGTCATAATTTTTTTTAGTTAATTAAAAAAATAATTTAATGGTTGGATGGTAGAAAATGAAACATAGTAATATGTTTTTTATCTCCTCAGTTATGTTTGGATTGACATCTTTTTAAACAGTTAACATATACTTACATGGACAATTATTTTTAGAAAGCTACAAAATTATTTCATCACATGGTTGAATGTAATTGTTATAATTCAAAAGTGGTTGAATGTAATTGTGATAATTGCAACAACCCTTATATTGGGGTAATTTGTCAATAAAGTTAATTGGTATAATTGCTCAAATTAATGTTTGATTCGCCTTTCTTCCTTGAACCAATAGTTACACGGTAATTGATCTTTGGTAATTTTTTTCTTTCCCAACAAGTTACACGGTAATCGAAATGGGCTGCCGCATAGTTGAACATCTACCATTTACTTTTGGAAAATAATCGACTCTTTAACAATAAAGAGTAATTTTGTTATATTTGAGGAAAGTTAAAAAATACTTTTAGTGAATGTAATTTCGTGAAAATAACAATTTAGTTCCTAAATTTTTTTTTTTTGTAACGATGTGGTTCTGTATTTTCAAATTTGTAATAATTTAGTCATTATAATTTAAAGTTGGTAACGATTTAGTCATTATCGTAACTTTTTTTTTAAGTTTCTTGTATGTATAGATTGATAAACTAAATAGTGACCAAAAATATGTTTATGAATTAGAAAGATTAAATTATTATATGATAAAAATTTGACACTTAATTTTAATAAATTTTTTTYACGATAGGGATTAAATTGGTATCAATTTGAAATTATAGAACTAAATCGTTACAAGTTAAAGTTGTGAGACTAAAAATTGTTGCTTTATGAAAAGTACAAGGATTAAATTTACAAACTTAAGTTTAAGGATTAAATTGTTATGAGTAAAAGTAGACGGACCAAATGTGTTTTTTAATCTTAAAATAAAAAAAAGTAAAAATAAATGCTATTTATACAAATTTTTTACGGTGGTGAAAGTCAAATATTTTCCTTTCCTTTTTAAATTTCCATCATGTATTTATTGTACTAAAACAATATATATAAAAAAGAAAGAGTCTAGAATCCCGACAGCTTATCTTATCCATCACTGATTTCTTCTCTCAAAGTTCTGTAACCTTTTAAATTTCCTTCCACTTTTCTTCTTCTACATCTCCGATTTCTGTTCGACAATGGCCGATAAGGATCTGAAGAACACGATGAGAAGGAGAATGGCCTCTATTTCCAGTCATCTCTCTCCAATCTCACCGGCTCCAAATCGCGACTTGATCCGCTTATCCGGCGCCTCAATGAACGACAGCTACCACCGCAAACACGGCGCCGTTCCGACTCACCCCGTCGTTTGGCGCATCTCCGGCGACGACTCCGGCCAGGAATTCACCGACATCATCTACGAGAAGGCCGTGGGAGAAGCCATTGCGAAGGTACAATCGAGCTAGAATTAATCGCCGTGTTTAATTTAATATTCTTTTAACATTTACAAATTTCCGCGCCCTTTCGGTAGATCACGATCAATAGGCCGGAGAGAAGAAACGCTTTCCGGCCGCTAACAATCAAGGAGCTTCTCCGTGCGTTTAATGATGCCAGAGACGATAGTTCCATCGGAGTCATTATTCTCACTGGAAAGGTAAATTTACTTATAATTAAGTTGTTTGATTACACTAATTAAGAAGAGATTAGTAGGATTTTTACGGATAGGGTTGCTTCAGGGAACAGAGGCGTTTTGCAGTGGAGGAGATCAGAGTTTGAGAAAGAAAGACGGTTATGTCGATTTCGAAGATTTTGGTCGTCTTAACGTGTTGGATTTACAGGTACCGACATGTCGTTCGAGTATTTACTCTAATTTTGCCATTTTGGACCTTAACTTATTTCCTTGGTCATTTTTTAGGTCCAGATTCGTCGTCTTCCAAAACCAGTCATCGCAATGGTACAATTTCCCAATTCGGTTTTGAATTATCGCATTTGTTAATAAATTTATCGTTAATCGAGGCTACTAAAGTTTTAATAGGTGGCAGGTTATGCTGTTGGAGGAGGCCACATTTTGCACATGGTTTGTGATTTAACCATTGCTGCAGAAAATGCTATATTTGGTCAAACAGGTCCTAAGGTATTTCAGCCCTCAAAAAATTGTCAAATTTTCGCCATTAATTTCTTCTCCTGTGGTTGAATGTTAACATTTTTTGTTTGGCCTTTTAGGTGGGAAGTTTTGATGCTGGCTATGGGAGCTCTATCATGTCCCGTTTGGTAAGCAAAATTTTCTCAAATTTTGAATACGCAGAATGTATGGATCTGAGTTTGATATTGTTTTCTGATTATTGGGCGATCAGGTTGGACCCAAGAAGGCACGAGAGATGTGGTTTCTGACCAGATTCTACTCGGCTTCTGAAGCAGACAAAATGGGACTCGTCAACACCGTAGTTCCGGTGAGTCCTTCCGGCTGCAAATCGTAGATCCAAATTCCAATTACCAATTTAATCAACTTCATTTCAGTTTAATCCCTATTTTTTAAAGTTTAAGTTTAACTTCTATAATTTGAGTTTCTAATTCAGTTTTTATAATTTTAAAAGTTACAGCATCCAAGTTAAATCATATAAATTGTTTTGGAAGTTTGAATCCTTTTGCTTAAAAAAAAATTAAGGTCTTTTACTTTGATATAGACTTTTAAGATAGTTTATTTTTTAGTGGTAGATAAGAGTGGATTAACATGGCAACATCAATTTTCTATAAAGTAAATAAAAAATTGGAGTACTTTCATCACTATATAGCATAAATCAAAAAAATGTTACAAAATTTCATTTTTTTAAAATACATTATAAGTCTAATCAAGTTACCAACTAACTTAATTTGTTAAGATATATATACGATATGTCCTGATAAAAAATATAATAGGTTAAAATTCTAACTCTTACTTATTGTACTAAAAAATGTATTATATATTAATTTTAATTCAAACTATGTTATTTTTATATAATTTCAATTTTTTTTTTCTATATTTGAACCTACTATTTAGTTTATGTGTCGTGAATTATGACTAGACATCGTGTCGAAAAGTAAGCATTACATATTTTTCTAAATATTTGAATATGCACCTTTTTGTTTAAGTTTAGGGGAGGAAAGAAACTAGCGTAGCAAAATTCGTGAGTTAGAAATTCCCGTATTCACATAATTTTGTACTTACAAAGAAATTAAAACTAAACCCGGAAGTGAATCACTAATTTACCCTTTTAAATCTTCACCCCATCAAGCTTAACTATGTATTTTCCTTTTTATAGTTGGATAAGCTGGAGCAAGAAACGATCAAATGGTGCAGAGAGATTCTAAGGAACAGTCCGACTGCAATCCGGCTGTTGAAATCGGCTTTAAACGCCGTCGACGATGGACACGCCGGACTTCAGGTACTGTGCTTCGAAAAATTCCAAATTTTCTGCAGTGATTTGCCGCCGCCGCAGCGCTGACTGACTCTTTGTTCTCTGGTTAATCGTGCAGGCACTGGCCGGCGACGCCACGCTAATGTTTTACGGTACAGAAGAGAGCAGCGAAGGAAGAGTGGCGTATATGGAACGTAGGCCCCCAGACTTCTCTAAATTTCCAAGAAAGCCTTAGATTTCAAACGCTATTTTAATTTCAATTTCTTGCCGTGGTTTAATATTATTGTATCTCGATTGTAAGGCAAAATGTGACATGAATATTCGAACGCTCAATCTTTTCGTCGGGTGTGTCTTGTTCGTTAGATATCCAATATATAAATTATATATAAAATTAAGTTTATTCGACCCACCAGTTCCAATATATAAATTATATATGAAATTAAGTTTACTCAACCTACAAGTTTCAATATATGAATTAAGTTTACCTACCTTATCAGTTTAAGTTTGAGTATTAGTTTATTCATCCTAATCAGAATGGGAGGTCTGTATTCGAATCCTTGTATGGTTATTTCCTTCTCATTTATTATGGTTTCTATTATTGGGTCTTGTTGCAATTTTCTAAGTCCACAAATGAGGGGTGGTAGATATCAAATATATGAATTATATATATTTATTTAAATATTGTGTACAAGTTAGAAATTGATGTGAACTTAAATAACATAGTTCAATTGGTTAAAATATCTATTTCATTAAAAGGTTGAGAGTTTAAAAATTCAACCTACATATCACAAGGGTAAGTTGATAATGTTGTTCATGAGTTACAAAGACAAATATTCAAAATCCAAAATAATCATATTGGTTATTAACATAAATCGTTTTTGTTTCAAGTCATTAATTGTGATAATTGGATTGAATTGATTGAGAACTTTACCATTTTAAGCAATGAAGATAATAGTACCTTTATTGTGATCTATTTTGCCTAATTTGAGAGGCTGGATTAAACATTGTATTTTAATTTCACGTTTCTCTAAAAAGTGACACTTTAAATGACATAAACTGATTGCTTTTTGTACATTTATAAAAAGATGTAAAAGAGTTATGAAGCAAATTTAAAGGAGACATTTATTTTGTACTTTAGAAAAAAAAAGACATTTATTTAAGTAGTTATATTTTTTAAAAACAGTCTTTAATTTGTTCTACATAAATCCAATTCAAATTATCTACATAAAATTACTAGTCAAATATGCCATTTTTGAAGGTAGTCCAACAATTGTGTATATAGCCAAATATTTATACATCGTCACATTTTATTCAATTATCTTAATTTTCAAAAGGTGACGTAATATATTCCCTCCTAACTTTAAAAAGCATTTCAAAAGAAAAAAAATCGAAAGATAAAAAAGAAATGAAATAAATAAATAAAGAGATCTTACGTAATTAGCTTTAATTATGCAATGCATTATATACAAATGACAATAATAATATGTCCAAAATTATACTAAAAAAATGTTAATTTTTTTTAAAAAATGATAATAATAACAAAACAGGAAAATATAAAATTATCCTTTTAGGTCACTGCTCGTTTTAACGTCTCCTTTCAATTTCGAGACTTCAAATTTGAATCATCAACGACCGCGGGGCCGGAGCATTCAATTCCACGCAACAAGAATTAAAACGTGTCGGTCATTTATTGGTTTGAGAATCAACACGTTAAATAATTTTAATTTCCTATTCTGCGCGAAAAGTCCAATGACGCCAATCTGCAAATTCTCAGACCTATGACGTGTTCGATGGTGATTGGAGGATAATTGGTTCGTCTACACGGTCCATCAAAAGGGCAGTTTCGTACTTCAACCTTCCCTTGCCTTTCGGTTTATATATAGGGCCCCGGTGAAAAATACTCCTTCTCACCGTCTCGCTTTTCTGTCTGTCGTAGATTCTTGGTGGTGCTCGGAGAAGGTAATGTTCCGTTTACCATTTTCGTTCTTCTTTCATTCCCCCATGCGATGTTTTTGTTCTTAGGATTTTGAGGTTCTTCAAGTTCTGACGGCCATTGTTTTTCCTGAATCTTTGATATCTCTTCCTGGATTTCTAATTCGAATTGAGCGTTTCTTTTGATGAGTATCGTCATTGATTGTTCCGATCTGCTTCTTTGCCGATTTTTCTTGCATTTTTTGTGATTTATATTTGAATTAGATGCATGAATTTCTTAGAGGAGCTTAATATGAGTTCAATTTCATGGTCTTAAGGCGATCTGATAGTGCGATGCGATCTACCTTCAGATCCATTCCAGTAGCCGTGAGGGATGTGATTTATTTAAACTGATGATTCTCCGCTACTTTTTTCTCTCCATTCCATTTGATATTTGTTACTTCGAATAATCTGAATTTCTATACCTAGTATTTTGTTGATCTTCAGTCGCGGTATCGTTTTTTT